CGGCTTATGCTTCCCGAAAGCGTTCAGCCGACGGTCAATCACGTCACGGTCCTCAGCAGGCTCCATAAAGGGTCCCATCACCCCAGTGACATGAGTAGCACTACCAATGTGACTCAGGCTCTCATCCTGAACACTAGGTAGAGGCGGCGACGGTGGAGGTGGTGGCGGAGGGAACTGACCAACAACAGGACCAGCCTCATCTCCTCCAACATGACCCTCATCATGGTCATGTTCGCCAGCCGGTTCACCTCAAGAGCATCCTCCGTGGCCTTCTGGTTCGCCTCACGAGCGGCGTCCATCATTGCCACGTTGGCCAATCTAGTGGCCTCCTGCATCTCAGCCAATGCAGTCAAGATTGGGTCGGGTTGACCCTCAACAGTCTCTCGTGTTCTCCTGGATCCTACCATGACTCTGCACAAGTTACACAAATTATGAGTTGATCAGGCCCACACAATGTGATTTCATATGCATCACCATAATACAACCCAACGGAGCAAACACACAAGACAGACACAACCAAGCATCCTAATTGTTGCAATACATACAGGCTTTTCCCTCGAACCATTGCTTTGATACCATAAAATGTAACACCCCGTATATATCCGGTAATGTTATCATATCATCGTATTAACCTGCGCTTAATTAAAATAGCGGAATATCTTTTTCTTTTCAATTATGATGTCATTATCATTACCAACTTGCTTAATTAGTCAATTAATAAAACATTGCCTGTATGTAAATTGCAAAAGACAACTAACTGAAATACCTCATTAAATCAAACAACATAAGTATGTCTCTAGTCTCAGAACTACAACACGTAGACCGGACAACTAACAGTTTATATAACTCTAACTAAAAGTACTAACATAAAAGTGGCATGGACAAACCCCATGCTCACCCAAATAATGCAACAAGCCCAACATTGTCTAATCAACAACAACGATATAATATAAAGGCGGAAAACATAAACAGCATCCAAATCCAGTCATGCCAGCATATAAACAATAATAGCATCAACTAAGCTCTGGCCTCCTGCCACTAGAGGCATCAGCCCCCATATTACCTGAATCTGAAATAAGCGCCCCCAAACGTGAGGTGAGATCTCTAAACAAAAAATCGCAGTAAGACAAGGGGTCCTCAAGGATCTTCCACCCCAAGCTCAGTTACATGTGCAATATAAGTTCAAAAGCAGTTTAACAATATAGTTTCCAAAATAGTGCAATGCAGCAGATAATCATGTCATGTGTGTCAATACAATAATCTATTGGCCAGAGAAATGTAAAAATACGTCTATTACCCACACAATATGCAAGACGCTACTTGCACCCACCCACAGACTCACGATCTTGTATGACGCTACATACTCAGGCTTACCGACTAAGTGGAAACAATACATACATATTATAAGCCATTGCACATACCAGCTCAAAAGATTCAAAATATCCAAAGCATGTAACCCAACATGCATATAAACCATTCCCCCATGGGGTATGGTGGAACCACAACATGGCTAAACCGAGGACACGAAAGCTTACCTTGCAAGCTAACAATCCAAGCCAAGAGTCCAACTAATGCTCAAAGTCCAAACACAGCAGAATCACAATCCGATTTGGACCAGCAATCATACCAATAAACATAGCTCATAAGCATAAACATAAAGACAACACCTCTTTTTAACGTTTTACGTCTTAAGGCTTATCACAAAGCCACAAGCCCTTAATCACTTGATTCTGACTTGGTTTAATTATTATAGAAGTTCAACTTCCTCAAACTAGGGTCCACAAACCCCAAACATCAGTTCTGGATGAACAGTAAGCTATTGTTCCTCGAAAACCCAGAATATCCAGATATTTGTCGGGGACATATCCGGATATCATATCCGGATATGCATATCCGGATATCAGTATCCGGATATCCATATTCGGATATCAAGAGACCCCATATCCGAATATCAATATCCGGATACCATATCCGGATATCAATATCCAGATATACATATCCGGATATTTCGCGACAGAATGCAGCTTCTGCATTTCGCGAAGATATCCAACAAAGATCCAACTTTTACCATTTCAAAACGTTCAAGACTCCATTTTTAGGCAAATTTAGGTTCATACTCAGATTACATACTTGTTTAACTTATTAAACATGCCAAGACATCTCTTTTAATCAACAAAGCTCAAAACAGAAGGAAAGGCTGCTCTTGGAGCTCACAATCAGGTCCAAAGATTCTAGACTATGAATATTAATTATATTTCTGGTATAAACAGACCTTGATTCTACTGTTTGGTGATCTGTGAGCTGCTGTTTGGATCTTAAGCTTGATTATACTACTCGACAAGTAAGTTCCGTGTTCTCAGGATTAATCCCCATTTGTTCCACCATTTTCCAAGAGGAGGATGGTAGTTTTATATGGTATATGTGTTTATCTGTTATTTGAGATGATGATATGATGCACTCTACTATATGCATGTTATGTGGTGTATTACACACAAGATGGCTAATACATGAGTGTAGTGTGGAGCTGCACAAGACTATATTCCCTGAGTTTGGGTATAAGGCAAGAGCCTGATACTTTTTATGTATGTAGCAGACGTGTGTAAATCATACCGTTCTCTGGCCAGTAGAGTTGTTAGCACACATGCATGATATATATATATATATATATGATTATATTATTACTATTGAAATGTTATCTTTAAACTGTTATACCGAAGTGAGCTTGAGGCGGAGGAACTCTTCGAGAACCCTTGCTTACTGAGATTTCTTTTTAGAGATCTCACCCCGTGCGTGACACATTTTCAGGTACAGATGTCCATGAGATGGATGCTTCCCGAGGCAAGAGGCCGGAGTAGAGTTTATTTGAGATGCATGTTTTATTCAGATTATTATGGATATGGTCATTGTACCGTGACATGATTATTATGACATTATGTTTATACCAGACTATGTATGTTTTATTTGTTTGTGTGCATGAGGGTTGTCCATGCCTTTGATTTATTTGTGTTATTGTTGAATATGTATGTTTTGTATACGCCATGAGATATGGACATTTGTCATGATACGCGATGTAGCTTCATGACTTAGTATTTATTTATGATATTGGAGGCATTTCAGGAACTCTAGTTTGGTTTTACAATTACATAAGGATATAGATTGATTTTATACTGATATGTTAATAAGGAAAAAGTGATCTTGCATGCCTAATAACTTAATTTAATTTAGCTTCTATATTTAATTGAGCTGCGCTCAATACCGTAATATGATAACAAATCTGGATGCATACGGGTGTTACAATTATCACCACCATTGTTGCGGCCACTGCTGTCTCCACCACCATCTCTACGTCATCGCCACCACCACCACCACTACCATCATCGTCACTACCATCACCGCCACCATCACCACCACCACACCATTACCACCACCATATCACCATTACCACCGCCGTCGCCGTCGCTACCATGCCATCACCACCATCACCACTATTGTCACTGCTGCTGCCACCATTACCACCACCATGCTATCACCTCCACCACCACCATGAAGCCACAGCTACCGCCACCATCACCACCACCGCCGCCATCACCATCACCACACCATATGAAAAGGAAAGTGATAATCCAATTTTTTTTTATGCTTAATAGGAATGTTTTTTTTATTTTATTATTTGTTGTGTTATCAAATACAATTCTCATTCTCGGAATAAAAATAAAACATATTATCAAACATATTTTTTTTCTCAGAAATTGTTCCAAGACACAGAAATAGAAAAGAATTGTTTCTTCTCAAAAACAGTGTCAGGGAACAGAATGGTTGTCATGCATACCCTTATACTCATTCACTTCAAGTACTAAATAAATAAAATAAATATTTAATTATTATTACAATTAATAATTACTATAATAATTATTCTCAATCAATAATAATTATAAATTCTTACTAATTTCAGATTCTTTGTCTACTCTGAGTTGTGTAAATTTATTATTTGAAATATTGTGTAAATCCATCAATTGATTATAATTGGTTATAATTGATTTGTAAATCCATTAATTTTTTTTTTGGTGTGGTGTATCCATTAATTAATTATAATTGATTTAAACAAATTTTTATCAAATAATTAATAAATTAATATAATATTTTTGAAATATGTTATAATTAAATATAAAATCATGTATGACATCAATCAAATATAATTTTTTTTTCATAATAAACAGATAGAATATAATTTTTTTATTGTTCACCGTTGTTAAAAATTATATTCCCAAAATATGCTATCATTTAACAGCCAAAAATCCATTCTTCACAGTAAAGCTCAAAAATAAAAATTTCAAACTCTATTGTCTATCACAAGTCACAACCTTGGTTTTGGAGAGATAAGGGTCCTAATTTCCAAAATATTTTCATTACTCCCATTTTATCGAATACTTATATCATTTATCTAAGCGAAAAATATTTCTGCAGTTAATGCAGAGAAGTTATCTGTATTTATTCTCAAAACGATATTGTTTTGATATTGAAATCTTAAAAAATTATAAATATAAAGACTATTATAACTCTGAAATAAATTAAAATTATAAAAATACTATGATTTTTGATCTAAAATAATATTATATTAACCTTACCGCAAATAACTTATCTGCAATTATTACAGAAAAAATAAACTATTTATCTAATATGATAAAAAGTAATATTTTTTAGTTTTATCTATATCTTATATTTTATTTTTTTTAGCAAAGGAATATGTACTCGTGTATTGAAAATAAGCTGCCCCAGTCCCCCTAACTTCTCACTTCTCGATGTACCTGGTACCATGCTGACTTGACCCAATATCAGGTCCTTGCTTTTCAGTTTTCACTACTCTTTTATGTACACCACTTTACTCTCTCACTAGTCACTACCACTACTTTTTTTTTTTTTTTGAAGAACTACTACCACTACTTTAAATCCTCTCCTTTTCTCTCTATTTTTTACTTTGTTTCCCTCACTTCGCTCATCATGTCCCCATAATCTCAATGAAATGAATGGAATCTAAATAGCTCTGTAGCTAGAGAGATACATAACCATTCATTAGAACCAATGAGTTCTAGCTTTGTCACCAAATCACCACCACCACCGTCACCGTCCTCTTCCTCATCGCCGCTGAACTCCTCCACTGAGTCCCTTGATGGCTTGAAGTTTGGCCAAAAAATATATTTTGAGGATGTGAGTGTGGCAACTCAGGCCAAACCCAATAATGGGGTCTCTTCTTCTTCTTCTTCCTTAGGGTCAAAGAAGGGAAGGGGTGGTGTGGTTAATGTGGCTCACCCTCCTAGGTGTCAGGTGGAAGGTTGTAAAGTAGATCTGAGTGGTGCTAAGGCTTACTATTCTAGGCATAAAGTTTGTTGCATGCACTCCAAATCCCCTACTGTCATTGTCAATGGTTTGGAGCAAAGGTTTTGCCAACAGTGTAGCAGGTTACCTATTCTTGACTACTCTACTTTTATTGATAACTTTTAAGACAATCTTTTTTTGTCGTTGCTATTTTTAGTGCTTTTTCTATAATGGGTATGTTCTGATTTACTTTTTCTATAATGGGTATGGTATCTTTTTTTTTTTTTTTCCTTATAATTTTCATTCCATGCTTATATGGTTTTGGATGTGTCTTTTACGTTTTTTATTTTTCATGTTTTTGAATAGCATTGCTTGTTCTCACTTCAGGGCTTTACTAATGTTGTTTTTGTTTCTGGAGTCTGGACATTTTTTGGTACTGTGGTTTTGTTGATTATGTGTCATGCGCTTTACTTCCTTCATACTAAAGTGCATGTGAAAGGAAGTTTGATAAGGCGTATGCAAATTTTGTTTTCCTTTGGTTTCTAATGCTTCTTGATGTTTGGAGACTGGTTCATATTTCGGGATTTGATGCATTTGTTGGTGTTATGAGTTATGTATGGCATCATGACAATGGTGGTGCTTTTATGCGACTGATGAGGGATTATGCTCTAGAAGACGGTACTGGTTTTGTGAGTTTTTTGTTGTTCCTCCTTTTTTCTTTCGTTGTTCGTGATATCATGAAGTGCTTGTGAAAGAAAAGTGGAGCTATTATTCGGAAGGAAAAAGCAATGATTTTTTATTTCGGATGATAAGCCCATAATATTTTTTTAGAATCTGTTGTGCAAAGTTGATATCCTTTTATTTTCCTGTTCCATGGGGAAGTGCTTTTTTCCACATGCTCATATACAAAGTATGTAATTCGTCCTTAAGGTATGTTAGGTCTATGTCTTTAAGGTTGCTTGTTTTTTTGATCCATGGTCCCTTGTTTTTTTTAATGTTTTTTCCTTTTCTGTTTTATAGTTCAAGCTTAATCACATTTCAAATTACTTTCCTCTTCAATTTGACTCATTGGTACTAGCTAATGTTACTTGGCATTCTAGGAGTGTGTTCAGTGGCAAAATATTACTAACAAGTGTTTCGTTTTAGAGGTGGAAGCTCATCATAATTGGATAGTTTCTGACCATGCGATCTGGAAAACATGGGTCTATTTATTTTTCAACAATAGAAACAGGGTTAAAAAAAAAAAAGAAACATGATATATATATATATATTTTAGAAACAGGGTGAAATAAAGAAGCCATTTGAGTACTCTGACCTATTGGGAGATGCATGAAATGTTGCAGATTGATCCAACCAATTATAATTTTCCGTATTGAGTTATTCCCTAGAATGATTCTCTTCATGCAGTACTAAAATTTTCAAATTAACATGCACCCTTTGAAAGAATTGCCAAATTTAAGAACATAAAACTTGGTGCTCTATGTCCCCATTGATGATCGACCTGATTGGTGTACATCTACTGATCTAATGTAATGTGGGATCCATATTGCAGATCATTTTTGAAAGAATCGCTGTGAAATGGCTTAATATTTAACATTATATTTTGACAAGACATGTGACCTTCAAGCCGTGCAACATGTTCTCTAATGTAATATTTAACATTATAAGGGAGGAGTAAGTCCTATTGTCTAATAATGATGCGATGTTAATCACTTATGTAAAATAATTAAATTGAATAATGTAGCAACTAACAAGTGCTGGGAAATTTCTGATGCTCTCCTGGTACAGATTGAGCATTATGGCATACTACATCCTTGTGGCTGACCCCTTTTAGTTGGAACAAGGCTTTGTTTGGTTGTTACTGTTGCTCTTCTGCTTTAAGGCATGGTTGGAAGTGAATGCTGTTGATTATTTGATATGTGTGGTTTATTGGTCACTTATTGAAAAGTTGAGTTGTATTTCACCAGGTTTAAAGATATTGTTGATGGGATAGTTTGTAAATGCTATTTATAATTATTAGACGTGCAGGTTCCATTTCATAAAAGCTACATTGGTATATCTTTCTTGAACATATTGTGTCTCTATACTGTGCTTAACACATGGAAATGTATTCCTAAATATACCTTGAGGCAGCCTGCTAATCAAGCTTTGTCTGGGCTTGTAATCGGATTTTATTATATTCAGTTGTTGTTGTGACTACAATTTGAATGGTATTATTATCCAGGTGTTACAAAATCTCAAATCCCATTGTCTTTCCTCCAAATTTCAAATTTTAATTCTAAGTTCATTAAGGTTATGACGATGTGGAAAATTGTTGTGTTACAATGAGAATTTCAATAGTTTTGGGATTAATCAGCTCAAGTCTGTGAATGTGGTAACCATCCATTGTTGTTGTGGAGCTGGGATAGCTGCCTAATGGCTGTATGAAGTATAATTTTTGTTTCTCTTTTGGGCTTTGTTCCCATCCAGGGTTGTAAAGGATTTTATTGCACATTTGATCTTAAGCTTTTGTAAGGTACATTCTACTTTTCATAATGGAATTAATCAGAAAGAGGGCTCCAACAAATTAAGAGTGTTCTTGTGAATGTGATAGGATGGTGTATAATGCTTAAAAAGATAATGGAGACATAATACAGATGGATGTTTCTCAAATCTACTAATCTCAATATTTCAGATGAGAATATGGTAATGGTAATTGGTGCAACAAAAGATCATCTTCTTCTTTTTATGTAATTAAAATGTGAATATATATTTTAAGGTGTGTCCCCTGTATTCAAGCTCAATGATTTCCTTTTCAACAATACCAGTATATCTTGTACTAAAGATGATCTTATCCTTCATAGCAAGAAGGAAGAGACAGAATTTTATTGGTATCCATGTTTCAGTCTTACTTTATATTTGAAGTTGAGTTAAATGTATCATGGAGCCATGGAATGTTCCTTTGATGCTATGTTTAGAGGATTTTTAGATGATGCAATCTCAACCCTGAGTTTAAAACCTTCGAGGCTTATGCTGTGTTTCCAACATGCTATCCCTCATCCAATGCATTAACATTGCTAAAAGATGTGGAAGTTACATATTATGGAACTATACCTATATACGTGGGTTTATAAAGATTTTCTTTGTTCTGTGATGATGTCAGTGATGACTAAGTGGAGTGAGTTAGAAATTCTCTCATTTGCATGTGATTTTCACGAGAAAGGAGAAATACTTCAAGTGCTTCCAATTCTGTGGTAACAACAGCATTGCATGCGATGCTAAGAAGCAACTTTGTCATGTTCTCTTTTGTATAACTCTTATTACATAAATTTGGTAGTATTTATATTTGAGAAAAGCTAATATCCTCTTGCCTTTGCCCAGATTTCATCAGCTTCCTGAATTTGATCAAGGAAAACGAAGTTGCCGCAGGCGATTAGCTGGTCATAATGAACGTCGGAGAAAGCCCCCACCCAGCTCCTTAGTAACCTCTCGTTATGCCAGACTTTCTTCACCTATTGTTGGTTAGAAATTTTCAGTAAAATATCAAATTCCAAATCTCTCTATGCGTAAATTGGATGAAAGCATCAATAGTTTCTGCTTGTGCTATTATTCCTTACCTATAAAACATTCAAATGTTTGGCTCTTGTCAACAGATAACAATGGTTCTGGTGATGGCTTTCTAATGAAATTTGCTTCATACCCAAAGCTTACTCTGAGAAATGCATTGCCAACACCAACATCTTCTGAACCAGTTCCTGGGAATCAAACTGAAACACTTACTTGGCTGGCCAATTCAGAGACACCATCTGAATTTTTCCTGCAAAGTTCAGTGGGTGGAACAAGCATCACTGGTCCAAGATATCCTTCAGTGGAAAGTTACACTGCAGTCACAGACTCAAACTGTGCTCTCTCTCTTCTGTCAAATCAAACATGGGGTTCTAGAAACTCAGCACCACCAAGTGTTGAGCTGAACAACTTGTTGAATTTCAATGGTACACCCATGACACAACTTGCTGCATCATCTCAAGTTGCAGCCATCCATCAGCATCCAAATGCCTCATGGTATTTCAAGGGCATTGATTCTGGTAATTGTTCACCTGAGGTTGTCCCTTATCTCGGTCCGGGTCAAATTTCCCAGCCTCTTCATAGCCATCTTTCTGGGGAGCTTGATGTGTCACAAGGTAGGAGGCAATTTTACATGGATCTAGGGCAGTCCAGGAACTGTGAGTCTTCTCACTGGTCACTTTAAAGCTCTTCTTTTGCTGTAAGGTATGTAATAATATCATGTGGCACAAAAACCAGAGAGGGGAATCTGTGCCTATTTGATCAATTACCAGACTGGTACTACTGCTTATTTTGGTTTGTTTGAAATTATATGTAAGGCAACTTCTAGACATCCTTATTTTGGTGTGTTTGAACTTTTAAGCAAGGTGTGTAGCCTTGTTACATTTTGTGGAACATTTAGACATTATTATTTTGGTCTATTTGAACTTGTGTACTTAGAAGCAAGAAGCAAGTTGGGTAGCCTTGTTTCATTTTTTGGAACTTCCATAGACATGGATCACCTTAGGGGGATGGATCCTTTCATGTCCTTTTTTAATAAGATCATGACAACTTTTGCTCGTTTGAGAGCTTTTATTTTTAGTTTCTTTTTTCCTTATAAGCATATCCTTAGCCAAACATAATTTCACAAAAGCTCTTATTATAAAGAGTTTTTTTTTCATAATGAATAAAAAAGTTAAAAGTTCTCGGAGGAGTTTTTTTTAAGATGTATATGTGCCTTTTAGAGTTCTCATTTATTTTTAGGTATACTATTATTTTAAATTTTTATACATAAATTTTATTATTTATTGTAATAATATATCTTAATAATAATTCATTTTATCTCCTTCTCTGCAAAACCCTAAGAATGATTTTACACAATTATCCAACAGTTTATAGTTTTATTTTTAATTTTTTTTTCTAACTTTTACTTAAAAGTAATTTTCAGCTTAAAAAATATATGCCAAATAGGTCCTTAGTCATTTGAAAAAATCAATGATAACAATTTTAATGACAGCTTATAAATCATAAAAGATGGAATGGTCATTTTATATTTATTTGTACGTTAACAATGAATGATTACAATTTTTCACATTAACATGCTCTTATTAAATAAAAAAATGAGACAATATAGTGAAACCGTACCCAATAAATCTTTTGGGTAAAAAAAAAAATTGCCATGCACTAAGCACATGATTTTGCAAAGGGGAGAGGTGAGGGTTGATTGCATGTATATATAGCCTTACATTTTTGTATAGAGATTGTTCTTCCACTCAGAATTTGTGACTTTCCCGAGAAGCAAACTTAGTGCTTGTCCCGAAATTCTTTTGGGTAAAAAATTGAAATTTTCTTATTGTCTCCAAGTAACGTATCGGATAAAAAAACTTAGGGTAAGAATATGAGATTTTCTTATTGTCTCTAAATAACGGATTGGGGAAAAAAGAACATGGTGTTCTAAGTATATTACGTGTGAATGGTTCGTAGGACGAGATTGGAAAAATAAGACTATGTTCTGAATGAAATTCAATCCATTTTGCAACTGTTCCGATGGCCCAATGATATAGTGGCCCAAAGGACTAAGTCCAAACCCCTTATCCATGTCAGTCCTACTAACCCTAAGCTTTCCTGCCCCCAAGGTGACGATGCTCCCTAGGTGAGACACCAAAATGTCTCATTTTGGGATTATAACTCTCAGGGAGACCACCCCAGATACTATAAGTGGAAACTGCTCTTTGTCACATGCTGACATCGCCAGGCACAGGGGGTGCATCACTGCTACCATAGCAGTGCCTACCACCCCTAGCTAATCCCAATGAGGGTTGACCCCTTCCTCACCAACCCACACAGGATCAACATCACCTTCCCCTATAAATACCCCTCTCCACACACAAGGAGAGACATCTTATGTATTGTTATTCTGCCCATTTATCTTGAGTCACACACACACACACACACACACACACACACGATCCCCATTATTTATCATCGGTTAGCTTCATACTTGGGACTATATCTCCTAGCTTGGTCTCTATTTGTGCTAGAGATATAACCCATACAGTGACTCTATCCCAGAAGGGAACATAGTGGGCTTATAGACCTCAAACGGTACATTGACGCCGTCTGTGGGAAACTATAAACTTCTATTCCCACTCTCTTACCAACGATCTACAGAAGGCAGATCTTTCACCCTGAACGAAATATGGTAGTCACAACGAGGAGAACACATCAGCCAAAAGCTACCACCCCTGAAGGCCATGTACAAACGGTCCACTCCAGTTCCCCACCATCCGTAATATCAGCTCCGGTCCAACAAGCAGCAGCCGAGGGTCTCCCGCCGGTACTGCAGTCTATTGACGCACAGCTGCCGATGGCTAATGCCGGAGTAACATGGTTGAACCGTCACGTGGCTATACGTGAGGTTCAAACAGAAAACTTGGTCCCAACTCAACCCCACCACCTGGAGTCCAGTACGGAATGCCATTCCCCGTCACAGTCCCTCAAACAATCCACCTCCCATATATCAACAACCGCCCAGAAGCCAACCTATGGTTATGTACAATGACCACAGAATGCCAAGAGTCGCCAGATATCCCCCCGAACCTTACACCCATCACGTTGGTGCCCCTTATCCCGTACTGCCTATAGTTGCTGGGGTCCCATTCCATGGCTATGCAGTACCACAACACAACCCAGCCGTCCCACAACCTCAAGCATAGGGACTGTGACGGGAATGACATTTCGTACTGGACTCCAGGTGGTACAATGACCACAGAATGCCGATAGTCGCCAGATATCCCCCCGAACCTTACACCCATCACGTTGGTGCCCTTTATCCCATACTGCCTATAGTTGCTGGGGTCCCATTCCATGGCTATGCAGTACCACAACACAACCCAGCCGTCCCACAACCTCAAGCATTATATATGGTACAACCTTCTCCCCAACATGGCATCCATCACGCCCCAGCTCTCTCATTTTCAGTGGAAGCCCCTCAAGCACACCGTCCTCTTTCTAACACACACCCACCTAACCTGAATGTGTGTGCCACGCCCGTCAATACCTCTGGACGCAACAAACCTTTAACAGATGACCCTCGCCTGGCCCCCATACCTTTGGGCTTTAAAGGTCCTTCCAATATCAATACCTACGTAGGCGATACAGACCCCTTTGAATGGATACAGAAGTTCGAAGCGGCAATGACCCTCCATGGCGAGACAGACCTCCTTATGTGCAGGACCTTTCCTACACTTATGGGCGGGAGAACGTTGGCATGGTACACTACTTTGCCAACTGGGAGTATCGCTTCTTAGGACGATTTGGCGAGCAAGTTCCAAACTCACTTCACGACAAGTCGCCCAGTACCCAAATCAGTCCATTCGCTGGAGAAAATCTGCCAACAGTCAGGGGAGTCTCTTAGATCTTTTTAGACCGTTTTGACAAAGAGGCCTTACTTGTGCAAGGTCTTGACCCTAAAGTGCAGGTACACATACTCTTGTCAGGCTTGAGGCAAGGAGCGTTTGCTTATGAACTCGCCCACCACGAAATAACCGACCTGGAAGAGGTCAAGAAAAAGGCCCAAGAGTTCATGCGGATCGAAGAATACAAGGGGAGCAGATTCGATGACGGGCAAAACCAGGAGAAAAAAGCAGGAAAAAATAAAGACCAAGATGAGGAGGATAGGAAAACTCACAAGTCCTCTACATATACAGGTCGCCTCGTGGGGCGTGGCTCTTCAGGACGACAATCACTTAGTGTGCTACAAACTGAATATAACGAGGAGCATAAGACCTACCCACAACGCCAAGAGCCAACTAGGGCACCCGCCGTATACTGCAAGTTTCACCGCTGCAACGGCCACAACACTGAAGAATGCAGATCTCTTAAAGAAGAGATTGATGAATTGATTAAAGGAGGAGCCCAAAGAAAGGTTAGCAATTCCTCACGTGAAGTTGGCCCATCCAGGCGTCGCACAAAGCATAGTAGGTCACCTGAAAAGAGGAGAGCTAACCAAGCTGATTATAGACCTTCCCACCGTGAACGCAACCAAAGGGAAGGCTCCTCAAGAGGTCACAGGGAACAAACCGGTCCAAACACCAGAGGGAGACATGAAGAAGAGGAAGACTCCGCTGTCATCAAATATGGCGTCATAAACATGATCTCCGGCGGCTTGAGTGTAGGCGGAGAAACAGCCAACTCCCGGAAAAGGCATTCGAAGCAATGTTTGGCGGTATCTGGCAAAATCATCACCAAAGAAAAAATTGCAATAGGCCCCGCTAAACCAAGGATCGTGTTGGATAGCAATGAGTTGGGCGATGTCCTTCCCGGGCATGATGATCCTCTGCTCATTCAAGCTATAATCGCCAACTTTGGCGTGAATCGAGTGTTCATTGACCATGGCAGCTCTGCTGACATTTTATTTTTACCTTGCTTCAAGGCTCTAGGGTTTACTGAAAATGATCTGACCTCGGTAGTAGGGGAACTGTCGGGCTTCAATGCAACAGTCACCAAGCCCCTCGGCATGATCAACCTACGACTGTCAATGGGAACACCACCCCCTTCAAAATCAGCCACATTCAATTCTTAGTGCTCGACACTCCTTCAGCGTATAACGTCATCCTCGGTAGAAGGGTGTTTGTCGCCTTTGAGGCCAGCATCTCTCACCTCCTCCTCACAATGAAATTTGTGGCAAGGGATAACAAGATCGCAACAGTAAGAGGGGACCAAATAGTGGCCAGAAGTTGCTATAACATCTCCCTCAAACCGATATCCAAGGTCACCTTCAGAGACCAACCGGCATCCCAATAGGTAACAACACAACTAATGGATGAAAGCTCTAGCAGGAAGAAGAAAGAGCAAGAGCAATGTTTCCTGGTGAAGTTTGACGCAAGAGATGACCCCCGGCTGGAACACGCCAGACCCACCCCTGATGGAGCATTAGAACATGTTGTTATAGGCGATGCTGACTACCAAACAACAACCATCGGGGAAACCATCGACCCGGAGGTGAAAGGCAAGTTGATTAAGCTGCTACGAGATAATAGAGACCTATTTGCATGGAAGCCATCTGACATGCCTGGAATTGATCCCGAAGTATGCTGTCATAGATTGTTCGTTGACCCTAAGGCGAAACCTATCGCCAAGAAAAAAAGGAAGTTTGGCCCTGATCGCCAAAAGGTTATTGATGAAGAAGTTAAGAGACTCCTAGACGCAGGTTTCATCAGGGAAATCAAGTACACAATTTGGTTGTCTAATCCAATATTGGTTAAAAAGCATAGCAGGGCGTGGAGGATGTGCGTAGACTACACTGACCTGAACAAAGTATGCCCTAAGGACGCCTACTCTTTCCCCAGTATCGACCAGCTGGTAGACAACACATCCGGATCCAAAATGCTATCCTTCATGGATGCGTACTCCGGCTACAATAAGATTCCTTTATTGGAGGAGGACCAAGACAAAATGGCGTTCATCACCCAGAACGCCAACTATTGTTACACCATGATGCCCTTCGGGCTAAAGA